GCCACCACTCTAGTGTAGGCCCTCATCACCTCATGCCACTATTACGATAATATCCTGCTGGTGGGTCTCCCTTCCTCCATTTAGCAACTAAAGTGATTGTCGTAAAATACAGGTCCAATCCTCTCTCTCTCTCTCTCTCTCTCTCTCTCTCTCTCTCTCTCTCTCTCTCTCTCTCTCTCTACTCCATTGGCTTCCAGGAGCAAAAAAAAAAGTAGACTGTTTTGTAGTCAAAGCCCTTAGTAACCTAACCTCCTAAAAACTTAGTAACCCAACCTTTCTAGTCTTATTACACTTTACTCTCCATCACATACTACTCTTCAATCTAGTGACATGGGGCTTCTGACTGTTTCCTGAACAAGATACTCCAACTCTTGGCTCTGGGCATTTTCTCTGACTTTCCCCTATAGTTAGAAATGCTTTCCTTCTTCCACTCTGATTGCTGACCTCCCTGGCATACTTTAAGTCCTAATTAAAATTTGAACTCTACAGGAAGCCTTCCCTAGCCACTCTTAATTCTAATGCTTTCCCTCTTTTAATTATTTTCAATTTATCCTGTATATACCTGGCTTTGTATATATTTGTTTGCATGTTGTCTTCCCTATTACATTGTAAGTTACTTGAGGGCAGGGACGATCTTTTGCCTTTTTTGTATTCCTAGTGCTTAGCATACTGTCTGGCACATGGAACCTGTGAATATCTGTTGAATTGAATTGAATTATTGTTAAACTGGTTCTATCCTTTATATGAAGTGTGTGTCTATCTTCAAATTTAGGTGGCAACTGGGCCTAGTTCAGTGGTGTTCTGGTAATTTTTTAAAAACCAGTTCTCTGGAAAAATATGTACAGTGTACTTACAACATACTTTTAAGTTTAATCTGCTTTATTAACATTTTTCCAGCACTTTCTTAAGTCTAGACAATCAAGAAAACTATAAAACAAGCACTGATGCTGCAGCATTTGCTTAATTCTGAGGTGTGAATGTCCCCACTAAAAACATAATAATCACAAGAGCCAGCATGAGCTGGCTTTGGTACACTCCTGGCCAGTTTCTCTCTGGTAGACTTTGGCCCCAGTACATGTTCACATTGATGCTATGACAGTACAAAATCTAGTCTGGCCAAGTTTATTATTTTGGTCATTTTAAACATTTTTCACAATTGGTACAACTATGGTACATTCAGGCAGATCAAGTAGAATTGTAGGTCAAATCATAGTTCTACCCAACCATGGTTTATTTGATTTTTCTATATGTATGCAGATTGAAGTGGAAGGTATTGATAACCATATCAAGATCAGATCATCTTCAGTTTTGTTAAATAAATCAAGAAGATATCAATAAAATTGTGCCTATTGATTTTTCTCTCATATACACTCCCCTTTTAGTAGAAATTGCAGAAGACTTAGAGCTAGATATCAACTTAGAAAGCATCTAATCTAATCCCTGAAAATTATAGGTAACAAAACCAAAGAGATCAAGTGAGTTGCTACCTAACAGCTTATTCATATGTGTATGTATACATATATGCATGCATTTGTAAAATGTTTTTGTGTATATATATATATATATATATATATATATATATATATATATATATATACACACCACATAATTGATGAATGATTGGTGTTTTTTTTCTTTATTTCAAACAGATAGATTCCAATGGTGACTTGCTTATTAAAAATGCACAGCTGAAACATGCTGGACGTTATACTTGTACTGCTCAGACAATTGTGGATAATTCTTCTGCTTCAGCTGACCTTGTTGTTCGAGGTAAGAGTTTTAAGATTATTCCATTAGAAATATTTGATTTGTATCAGTTCATAGCATTTTCCAGTGAATCTTGTTCAAATACTTATAACACTATTCTGAAAAATAAAATAAAATAGAAGAGCTGACAGTGGTAATAAGTAAACAGTTTTCTTTATTCCATTGGAGAAGGGAAACTAGACACGTGTACCAGGATCTCCTGTAGGAGGAGGCCCAAGGCAGTGAGGCTAAACCTTGATATGTATGTATATTTATATATATGTGTGTGTGTATGTATATATGCATGTATATTTGTGGTTGGATGAAGACTCAAACAGTGTGGTATTGCCGCAGTGGTGAGACATAGCAGCAACAATGAGGCAAGGTTACCTAGTGGCCAAAAGTCCATTCATAGCAGGGTTTCATGTTGGTGCTTGCCCAAGCTCAGGGACAATCAATTCTGTGATTTAGTTGCAGCAGAGTTCATCAAGAGGTTGGACACAACGAATTATTTTTATGCTAGGCTCAGGGCACAGCTTGCATCCTGGGCCTTAAACTCTGGAAAACAGGGTGTCTCCTAATAGTAGAAAGAGAGGAGTAAAAAGAAAGGGGTAGTCTTGGCATTTACCCATTTTGGTCAAAGGGAGAGGGTCTAAAAGAACCCTTTCCTTTCTGGCCAGTAAAGGAGAGGCAGGTGTAAGCCAAGATGCCATGAGAGTCCAGATGTTGAGTAGAGGGACATATGTAGGCTTAGGATGGTTAAGGTGGCAGATCTAACAATTTATTAGCCCCTTCCCCTTAGCAATGGCAGAATGGCATTTTTATCTCAGGAGGTTAGTGTCTTTAAACATCTTTAAATCACCCAATATATTTTCATAATAGCCAAAAATTTTCAAATGAAAATTTGATATCATAATAAACTTATTCTTATTTTTATCTTTTATAACAAAATATGCCTCATTAAATATTTAAGTTGTCAAATACCTATTTTTATCATATCCTTTTAAAAGCCCAATTTATACTCTAACAGAATCCAGTTTAAAAAGGGATATTATTTTTCCAACAGCATTTTTGTTATAATGGTCTTCCAAATTTCACAATATAAGAGAAATTTAGTAATACTATAATAACACAAATAACATCATGTTTAAAGCATTAAATAAAACTTCAGATGGCATCAATTCAGTTAATTGAATTTCCAAATTATCTCATACAAAAATTATTAATCTTATTACCTTTGGCATTTTAAATCCACTTTAGGGTTATCAGGCATGGAAAATTACATTCAGTTAAAGAAATAATAATATAGTTCTTGGCATATCCAGTCTGTTTAAGCACTTTACAGTCATTTATGTTATTTTGATCCTCACAATAACCCTGGGAGGTGGGTTCTATTTACAGATCAGAAAACTGAGGCAGAGATAAAATACCTTGCCTAGGATTACACAGCTAATATATTTTTACAACCCAAATGTAATTCAAATTTCCTATATTTTTCCAGCATTTTTTTCAGTATCTTTATTTGGGAGCTGATCTGAAATGAGAGGCATTGACAGGATCAGAGGCAGAGGGTCTTTGAACTGGGTGTGGAAGTGGTGTCACCGGAGATCTTTGGTTTAAACAATCTTTTCTCTTTTCATGGTCAAGTAAGGGTTAACAAGAAGTGGCTATATAGTGCTAACCATCTGCCTAATTTTTTTTTCTTCACTCTGAAATTACTTCCAAACTAACTGCCTTCCTTCATTGCCCTAAAACAATGAGTCTTTTAATCTTCAGGTGAAAAATATTTAAGTGCCATTTACTTCTATAGAATTTAATAGAGATTAATTCTTATTTTTCCTTAAAACAAATTCTACAGAGGAGCACCCCAAAACTTACTAAGATATTTCAGAAAGGTAATTTCTAGAATTACTGAAAATCCCAGGAATTCTCCTTTGTAGTCTTCAAAATGATTAATCTCCAAGCTCCTTAATCTACCAAGATTTTTTTTTAGCAATTCATAATCTTCTATTATCTGACTTTATTTCCATAATTCCAACATGACCAAAGCTGAAATGACCAAAAAAGGTGTTTTGCAGGGTTTTTTTTCTTTTTCTTTTTCTCTCTTTTCTTATAACCCAATCTCCCACAGAAAGCCTGAAGTGGGAGTCAGTTCTGATTACTGGAACAATTGCTATGACTATGAAAGTTCATTAATCTTTTCCAGTGTTCTAAACTCTTTGGCTACAGTCCTTAGCAGTTTTTCTGACTGGCTATATTTTCTCTTTTAGATATCATTCAAGGTAATAGAATATGCAAACAACACAAACACGATGCATACATTTTACATTTTACAAAGACACAGACACAAACAAAAGACAGGACAGACACTATGTAGACAGGATGATTCTATCTGAGATTTTCTTAAGGGAATCTAAGTTATGAAAGGTTTCATGTTTGGTGGTTTCAAGTAGCTATTTATTAAAAATATCCCATTTGGGGTATTTAATTTTCTTGTTGGCTTCATCAAAACATTTCTTAAGGTAATTTATTTTATCCCAATCAAAAGAATCCCAAGTTTGTCAACAATGTCAAACTATGCCAATTAAGAAACTTGCAAGTAGCTGTTCCATGGACTAAATGCAGCCAAGTGTTTTTCTGGCTCATTCTTGGTCACCAAGTTTCCCATATTACAACGTAAAGGAAACAAACACAAAGGTACCTGATCCAAGAAGTCAAGAGAGTTCACCAAGAAGAGACAGATAAATCCTCTCTTCAGTAGCAACAACCAGTTTCAATCCTCCAAGGGAGTGGAGCTGAATGAAAGACAGGAGCTTGGGACTAAGAGAAGGAAAATCATCCACTGTCACTCTTGAAGTGCAAATTGAGTGGAACTCAATGGACCCTCTGTAGGTACCATAATTCAGGTTGGACTGGGGTCAGGGCAGAAGGTATTATTCACTTTCTGATCCCACTTCTGACACCAACTGTCTACTCTGAAAACAAATGACCAAAGAGTCACAGAGTTTTGCAACTGCTGTAATCTCTAAAAATACCAAAGAGCTCACACAAGTTATAATTACCACAGTTAACTCTGAAAAATAATATAAAACCAAAAAATTCACAGTGGTCATAAGCAACAAATTTTCTTTATTCCATTGAAGGGAAACTAGATACATGTGTCAAGATCTCCTCTAGGAGGAGCAGTGAGGCTAAATATTGATATGTACATATATATATATATATATATATATATATACACACACACACACACACACACACACACACACACACACACACACATACACACACACACACACACACATCTATAGAGCTAGACAAAGAATCAAACAGTGTTGTTTGCAACAGTGGTGAGGTATAACAGCAACAGTGAGGCAAGGCCAAAAGTCCACTCATAGTAGGGCTTCATGTCTGCGCCTGCTGGTGTTTGTCTGAGCTCAGGAACCATCAGTTCTGTGATTTAGTTGCAGCAGAGTTCATTAAGAGGGTAAGCACAAAGGATTATTGTCATGCCAAGCTTAAGGCACAGCTTGCTTGCTGGGCCTTAAGCTCTGGAAAACAAGATGTCTCGTAATAGTAAGAAGAGAGTGATGGTCTTGGCATGGCGATGCTGACAGACAGTAAACAGATTTCTCTTTCCTTTCCCCTTATGCTGCTTTGAATTGGAGGTATTCAGATAGATAGTGGAGGCAGCTCCAAACGGCATAACCCTGGGTAGCAAAGAAGAGACAGAGATATAGATTTAAGATTACCTGGGAGTCAGAAATAAAGCTATGAAAAAGAAACAGGACCAGGGAACCTAGCAGTAGAACGCAGCACAAGGACACCACAGAAAAGCATAGTTCATTAGGGTCCTGAAATACTGGAGACATAAGTTGTCTTGGTCACATGTATTGTCTATATGGATGCCTCACTGGTAATGTACTCTATGTGCCTGCTCTTCCACTGATACTGGTTGTAATTATGAGAGTGTGTCCCAGGTTTATGTGACAATATTTTATAGCTACTCTTCTTACAATACAGTGCCTTTACTTGGATCTAATTGTGTCTGTTGGCTGACAATTACATATACGCACATCTGTGATAGCTCATGAGCTATTGTTTTGAGAGTGAAGACCATACCACAGAGCACCTTGAAACTTGAGCAATAGTTGCCCCCTGGAGACCCAGCCTACAACATTTAATAAGTTGGATAGATAGTCCAGAGTAAGCCCTACATATAATTTTTAGTTTATTGATTTTATTTGTCTTCTAAATTTCTCTATTTCTGTCGAAGGCACCAGCAGCTGGGTATTAAGTTTTTTGGTTACAGAAATTCTCAAAAATCATCTTAAGTTGTCAATTAGTTATAGTGTGCTTCAGTGGATAGGATAGCAACACAAGTGGAATTACAGAACCCTGATATAGTTAAACATGTCATTCTCTATGTAGAAAGTGGTCTTTGACCTGTGTCATGAAGAAATAGAGGCATGTTAAGAAAGAGTTGAAGACAGTGTGTTTCAGGCATGGTGAGGAAGGTGTCTCTTGATTGCTATAAACTGTGCTTTTAGTTGTATTCATATAGTTTTGATGTGACTGGGCAGGTAAACTCCCAAGAATTTTATACAATTTTTAGTTATTTAATTTGCTACTAGGTTTGGTTGGTTATACATAAAAATACTGATGTGAATTAATTTCATATCTTGCAATTTTCTGAAGTTTTAGTTACTTTTTTTAGTTGAATCTCTAGAGTTCTCTAAGTAAACCACTGACATCATATGCAAAAAGTGATAAATTTGTTTTCTTTTTGCTTACAATTATTCTATTTTTTCTTGTCTAATTGCTATTGCTAGTATTTTGAACACTGCATCAAATAATATTAGTGAAAATGATCATCCTTTCTTTGCTCCCTAACAGCCTCAGCTTTGAATTATTCACATAATCTTCTGTCTCCATTCAGCATCCAAATGCTCCTGAACAGAACTGGAGACAATCATAAAAACATGTCTTCTGGGTGTACTACAGATCTATGTTACCTGGTCTTAACTGCATCCTCACTGTATCAAGGAAATACTTTTACAACTCCCTAGTCTGCCATTTACCATGACAAGTTTTCCATAACTTCTCATACCTTTTCAAAACCTTCCATGGCTCCACATCTTCCTACCCCTTTAGTTGAGAAAATATTTCACTGAAAAAATTAAGGTCCTTTGCTGAAAAGCTCCCTCTTATCCTTCTTCCTTATCTCATCACTCAGATGCCTTCTGCTGGTATCTCCTCCTTCATTCCATCTCACATGAAGAGGTGTTCCTTCTCATTTCCAAGGCTTTACATGCCTAAGTCAGCCCATTCCATCTTGTCTTCTCCAGGAGACTAACTCTCTCACTCCCATTCTAATTGCTTCGCTGTTGCCAATAAATATGACCATGTCTTCTGATTCTCAAAAACTTCAATAGATTCTTTCAATTCTACCATCCTATATCTGTTGCTCTCTTTTGTGGTTAAATTCCTTGAGAAAATAATCTATACTTGGTTCCCCCACTTCCTTTCCTCTCACTCTGTTCTTCAATTGTTGCTGTCTAGTTTCCACTCACATCATTCAAATGAAAATGTCCTCTCCAAAGCTAATTGCCAATTTTCTCAATCTTCATCATTCTTGACCCCTCAAAGCCTTTGATATTCTTGATATAAAGTAATATTCCTAAAGTGTAGGTCTGACCTTATTGGACCCCTGCCCCCAACCCTGTTCAATAAAGTCCAGTTACTCTGTTACTTAAAAGATCTAATATAAAAACTTCCATTGGCTTTTTAATGCCTTTCACAACCTGATCCCTTCCTACCTTTCCAGTCTTCTTAAATCTCATTCCCCTCACGTACAACTCAGTGACATTGGCCTCCTCATAACAAGACACACTGGCACCTGATTCAGTGCATTTTCACTGGCTATCTCCCATGCCTAGAGTTCTCTCCATTCTCATCTCCTACCTTCTCTGGCTTCCTTTAAGTCTCACTGAAATCTTACCTTCTACAAGAACACTTTCCTGACCCTCTTTAATGCTAGTGACTTCAATTTGTTGATTATCTAAATTTGCCCTGTATATATCTTATTTGTATATAGTTGTTTGTATAATACCTCTTTAATTATCCTCTGAGGTCCTTCAGGTTTTTTTTCATTTTGTTTTTGCAGTACACAGCACTTAGTAGATTGCCTGGAACATTTTGTTATTGTTGTTGAGTTCTTTCAGACCCCATTTGGGATTTTCTTGGCAAAGATACTGGAGTGGTTTTCCATTTTCTCCTCTAGCTCATTTTACAGATCAGAAACTGAGGCAAACAGAGGTACATGACTTACTCAGGATCACACAACTAGTAAGTGCCTCAGGCCAGATTTCAACTCATGAAAGTGAGTCTCTGATTCCAAGCCCACAACCTAACACATAGTGGGTGCTTAATAAACGTTTGGTTTTTTAAACATTCTCATTTATTATTTATTTTAAACATTCTTTTCTTTTTAAATTTTGAGTTCCAAATTCCTTCCCTCCCTCATGCTCCCCCCCCTGAGAAGGGAAGCAATATGATATCAATTATACATGTGAAATCATGCAAAACATTTGCATGTTAGCTATATTTCCAAAAAGAAAACAAAAAAAAATGAGGTGAGAAAATTATATTTCAATATGCTTTCAGAATTCATCAGTTCTCTCTCTGGAGAAGGATAGCATTTTTTTGTTATAGGTCTTTTGGAATTATCTTAGATTACTGTATTGATCAGAGTAGCTAAGTCTTTTACAGTTGATCATCATTACAGCATTTCTGTTAACTACGTACAACAATCTCATTCTTCTCACTTCATTTTGCATCAGTGTGTATAGTTCTTACCATGTTTTTCTGAAACTTCCACCCTGGTTATTCCTTTTTTTTAGAAAAAAATAATATTTTTTCCCAATTTCATGTAAAAACAATTTTTAACATTTGTTTGCCTAAATTTTGTGTTCCAAATTGTCTCCCTCTCCCCTCCCTGAAGCAGTAAACAATTTGATATATATGTTATACATGGGCAATCATACAAAATATGTTTCCATATTAGCCATGTGGTGAAAGAAAACACAGACAAAAAATGAAAATAAAATGAACAATAGTATACTTTCATCTGCAGACAGACTCCATCAGTTCTTTCTCTGGAGGTGGATAGCATTTTTTATCATGAGTCTTTTGTTATCATTTACATTATCATTTTAATGGATCAGAGAAGCAATTATTCAATATTGCTGTTACTGTATAAAGTGTTCTCTTGGTTCTTCTATCTTCACTTTGTATCAGTTCATGGAAGTCTTTCCAGGTTTTTCTGAAATCATCCTGTTTGCCATTTCTTATAATCGCATGCCACAACTTGTTTGGCCATTCCTCAATTGATAGACATTCCCTTGGTTTCAATTTCTTTTTTTGCTATCACAAAAAGTGCTCCTATAAATATTTTTGTACATATATTTTTGTTCATTCCTTTTCCATTGGTCTTTTTGGGATACAGACGTAGTCGTATTGCTGGATCAAAGGCTATGAACAATTTTGTAGTCCTTTGAGTGTAGTTCCAAATTGCTTACAGAATTGTTGGACCAGTACACTACTCCACCAGCAGTTCATTAGTGTACCTATTTTTTCCTCTCCCTTCCAGCATTTGCCATTTCTGATAGATGTGAGGTATACTTCAGAGTTGTTTTAATTTGCACTTCTGTAATCAAGAGTGATGTAGAGCATTTTTATATGACTATAGGTCACTGATTTCTTCTGAAAACTGCCTGTTTATTGATACCATTTATCAATTGGAGAATAGCTTTTATTTTTATAAATTTGACTCAGAATATATTTCAGAAATGAGAGGAACTTTATCAGAGAAACTTGCTGTAAATTTTTTTGATATTACTTCATTGTCTATGGTACTTTTTGGCATAATGTAGTTTCCTTGATTCTCTGATTCTCTGATCTCTTTTAATTAGGTCTGTTTTTGCTTTTGCTTTGTCTTAGATCATGATTGCGACCCCTGCCTTCTTTACTTCAGACGAAGCATATTAGATTTTCTTCCAACCCGTTACTTTTACTCTGTGTGGGTCTTTCCATTTCAAGTGTGCCTTATGCAAACAACATATTCTTGGATTTTTATTTCTAATCCCTTCTGCTATCCGCTTTTGGGGTAAGCTCATCCCATTTGCATTCATGGAAATGATTAGTAACTGTATATTTTCCTCCATCCCATTTTTTTCTGTTTCTTCCTGTCTCTCTCTTTTTACCCTGTCCTTCCTTCAGAAATCTATTTTGCTTCTAACCACTGCCTTCCACTCTCCATTTTTTCATGTTCCTACCATTTTTTTTTATCTGTTTACCCTCCTATTTCTCTAGTGGGTAAATTACATTTATATCCACAACTGAGTGTGTTTATATATTTTTCCCTCTTGAACCAATTCTGAAAAGTGAGATTCAAGTATTTCCCATCCCCCCTTCCCTCCATTGTAAAAACTCTTCCTTATATGCCTCTTTTGTGTGAGAAAAATTTCCCCATTCTATCTCTCCCTCCCACTTCACCCAGGCATCCCTCTTTCTCAGCCTTTAATTTTTTTTGAGATCATTCTAACAAAATTGACTCAGACCTATGGCCTCTGTCAATGCAAACTCCTTTTAATTGCCTTAATAATAATAAAATTCTTAGGAGTTACACATACCATCTTTCTGGGTAGGAACGCAAACAGTTTAACTTTATTGATTCCTTTATGATTACTCTTTCATGTTTACCTTTTTATACTTTTGATTCTTCTGTTTGAATGTCAAATTTTCAGTTAGCTCTGGTCTTTTCGTCAGGAATGCTTAAAAGTCCTATATTTCATTAAATATCCATTCTCCCCCATGAAGGGTTACACTCAGTTTTACAGATTAGGTTATTCTTGGTTGTAATCCTAGCTCCTTTGATTTCTGGAATATCATATTTGAAGCCTTCCACTTCTTTAACCTGGATGCTACTAAATCTTGTTGTGTTAGTCTGACTGTGACTCCACAGTATTTGAATTATTTCTTTCTGGATGCTTGAGGGATTTTCTCTTTTACCTGGGAGCTCTTGAATTTGGCTGTAATATTCCCAGGAGTTTTCATTTTGGGATCTCTTTCAGGAAGTAATTGATAGAATCTTTCAATTTCTATTTCACCCTGTGATTCTAAGATATCAGGGCAGTCTTCTTTGATAATTTCTTGAAATATGATGTCCAGGCTCTTTTGTGGATCATGGCTTTCAGCAGTCAAATAATTCTTAAATTATTTCTCCTGGATCTATTTTCCAGGTCAGTTGTTTTTCTAATGAGGTCTTCCACATTTCATCTTATTTTGAGACATTCCACATTCTCTACTATTTTTCTTTCTTTAGAATTTACTTAATTATTTTTTGATGTCTCATGAAGTCATTAGCTTCTACTTGACCAATTCTAGTTTTTAAGGAATTATTTTCTTCAGTGAGATTTTGTACCTCTTTTTCCAGTTGACCAATTTTGCTTTTTAAGGAATTCTTTTCTCCAGTGAACTTTTGTACCTCCTTTTCTGTTTGACTAATTCTGCTTTTTAAAGAGTTCTTTCTTCAGTAGATTTTTGTGCCTTTTTTTTACCAAGCTGTTAATCCTATTTTCATAATTTTCTTGCATCACTCTCATTTCTTTTCATAATTCTTTTTGGGTTTTGGTCCAATTAGCATTTTTCTTTGAAGTTTTTTGGTAGCTCTTTTCACATTGTTATCTTCTTTTGAATTTATGTCTCTGTCTTCCCTGTCACTACAATAGCCTTTTCTGGACAAATTCTTTTTTTTTGTTTGCTTATTTTTACAGCCTATTTCTTGACTTTGAACTTTATGTTAAAGTTGAGCTCTGCTAACGTGGGGATGAGGAGGCACTGTTCCAAGCTTTTTTTTGTGCTATTGTTTTCAGAGCTAGTTCTTGAGGTCTGCATGTTTTCAGTGCTTCTGAGGTGGTGTAATCCTGGAAGACATATGATCACTGCTCCTGGTTTTATTTATTAATCCAATTATCTTTTTGTTTTTAATTTTGTTAAACTCTTATTTTGATTTTTAGGATTTATAATTCAGTGTTTATTTTTTTTAAAATGTATTGGGGGGGGTTTTCCTTTAATTGCAGTCCTAATTTGTTGATCTATTCTTTATTTTTCCTTTTGTTCATAAAAGTATTGTACACATAAATTTTCCTCTGAGAATTTCTTTGGTTGAATTTTCCCAAATTTTGATACATTGTTGTCATTATCTTTAATGAAATTATCCATTATTTCTATAATTTGGTCTTTGGCCCCCAAATGTTTTAGAATTAATTTAATTAATTAATCTTAAATTAATTTTAATAGTTCCTTCAGAAGCCCTTTATTGAATAGAATTTTTATTTTATGCTGGCCAATATAACATATGTTTAATGTTTCTGATCTTTTACACTTGCAAAGTTTCTAAGCCCTAATACATAGTCAGTTTTTGCAAAAGTGCTATATAGAGCTGAGGAACATTTCTACTCCTTTCTATTACCATTTTAAAATAACTAAAATTTTTAAAATTCTATTTATTTAAAATTCTATTGCTGCTTTCTTTTTTTCTTTCTTCTTTCCTTGCTTCCTTCCTCTTTCCTTCATTACTTCTCTCTTCCCCTCCCTTATATTTCCCTCCCTTCCTTTCTTCCTTTCCTCCTTCTTTCTTTACTCCTTAACTCCCTACCTCAATCCCTTCCTTCTTTCCTTTCCTTCCTCCAAGGATGCCAAGTGAATTCTTTCTGTTTTCATTTTTCTTGCATGTTTTAATATGTCTAGACAATTTTCTTTTATTATTCTTGAAATAAGATATATTGGTTCTTTTTGTGCATTATGGCTTTCAAGTAATCCACTTATTCTTTTTTCTCTATCTTTATTTTTTAACATTAATTTTTAAATTTTGAATTCAAAATTCTCTCTCTCCAACCTAAGGTTTCGCAAAAGATGTTTTCATATTAAACATGCTATAAAAAAAGCAAGAAAAATAAAGTGAAAAGTATGTTTCAATTTGCAGTCAGAATTCATAAGTTCTATGAATATGGACAGTATTTTTCATCATATATCCTTTGGAGTTGTTTCGGAGTTTGTATTCATCAGAGTAGCTAAGTCTTTTACAATTGATTATCATTACCATAAATCTGTTACTTGCTGTATACAGGTACCATGTTCTGGTTCTGCTCACTTTGCTTTACATCAGTTAATATAAATCTTCACAAGCTTTTTCTGAAACCATTCCCTTCATCATTTCTTATATTACAATAACATTCCATCAAAATCATATACTTGTTCAGCCATTCTCCAAGTGATGGGAATCCTCTCATTTTCTAATTCTTTGCTGCCATAAAAAGAGTTGTTATAAATATTTTTGTATATATAGGTCCTAATGCCCTTTCTTTGATTCTTTGGGAGACAGACCAGTAGTATTGCTGGGTCAAAGGAGAAGTAACTGAGTGATGGTAATAGAGGGAGAGTCTGGCAAGTGGCAATGAGGAAGGGGGAGGGAGGGAAAGAGAATAGATACACACACACACATACATATATATAATCACACACACACACACACACACACACACACACACACACACACACACACACACCCCTATCTTTTGGAGCCTGCACCCAAATCCTGTAATTGTGTGTTTTTTTTTTCCCACTGAGATTTGGGGAAAATTGCTCAAGGAAGAGAAAAGAAATGTTAAGTGCCAGTTCTTTAATTCTAGCACACAGAGAAGATGTGTTCCATATACAGTTTCCTGCATTATGATATTTTGGTTTTTTGATTTGTCATATTCTTCAGGACATCTATGATCCTTAAGCTATCTCTGCACATCCAATCTTCAATGTCACTTTGGTTTGTATAGAGATCATGTATTATTTTTAATATTCTTTCATTTTTCTTCCCTTTTGCAAAAATTTCCTCCACTTTTGTATTTTTGCCTTACAAATCTGTTATTCCTCTTTAAAACTACTTTTTTTTTTGGAAAATTTTCTATCATACATTCAGTTTTTCCTATGCTGCTGTTTTTTGTTTTAAATTCTAGAGTGAGAGTTCGGATTTCTGTCCTAATTTCTTTCTTAGTTTCTTCTGTTTAGAATTTTACTTCTCTTTCTCATTCTGAGATTTCATGGATGATCTCTGGGGAATCTGTAGAAGCCTCTCTTCCATCCACTAATATTAATTTGTTTTCTTTCATATCATATTTGTTCAAATGTTGTTTGGTTTCTTTTTGAGATTATGCTCATTCATCCTTCTGTCTTAATGATTCTATTGATTCATCTTCTTGGTACACTGGAAAGTCTTATGGGTTCAATTTGAACAGCATGGTAAATAGCTGACATTTATGTAGTGCTTTAAAGCTTACAAAGCACTTTCTTTTATTTGTTGCTGAACCTATGATTTTATCAGAAAAGGGAACTCCTGGTGAGCAATTTCCTCTACAAATTCAGATCAACACTTTCTCTACATATATAGTGGTAGAATTATCTGGGAAACTAAGAGCTTACCTGATTTGCTAAAGATCTCAGAGCCAATTTTGTGGCAGAGTTGGAACTTGAATCCAATTCTTTCTGGCTCTGAAGCAAGCTCCATCTCCATTACCCCATGTTGCATTTCACAAAGCACTTTAATCCATTTTATAATTCAGCTTTATCCTGTGGAGTGGATACTACAAGTATTACTATTTCCCTTTTACAAATGAAGATACTGTGACTGTTAAGTGACTTGCTAATAGTCACATAATTAGCAAGTGTTAGAAGCAGTATCTAAATGCAGTTCTTCCAGACTCAATGTCTAGCATTCAGTGCATATATCATGCTGGATGAAAAGCAGAAAATAGAGAGTCTGTATTTGAGTTGATAGAATACTCTTTTAATATGCTAATAAACTACATGGAATACAATGAAACTAATCTAAAAACAATACATAAATAAATTCTGGGAATAGTATGTCATTTCAGTTACAATTGCCAGAAAAGATCACTAATATTTTAGAAATCTTAAGACAATGAAAAGGATAAGTGACTTTTATAGTGTTTACCATAACTTACTAGAGTTAAATTGGTAAGATAAAGCCCTGCAAATGTAGGTTAATTCTTCATAGGAAATATACTGAAAGTTTCAATAGCTGCTCCCATCACCTAATAGGTGAAGCGCAGTAGTGTAACAGAGGAACAATAGTTAGATTTGCCCTGGGGATGAACAACAGAGAGAAGGAAATTAAAAGACATGATTAAGATATCTATCATTTACAAAAAACATAATTATTAATATAACAATATAATTATTGATGAAAGATTAGTTACCTATGCAGTTCCATTGTGAAAATACCTGTAAGAGTGAGCTAACTTAAAACAAATTAGTATCTTATTTTTCTAAGGAACTATTTTGTAATAACTGCATAATGAATTGAATGTTAGCTTCACTTGCCAGGCTAATTAAATTAGTAAATGCTTTCAACTAACACTCAATTGTTTCTTCATCAGAAAAGCATATTTCTTCCTTTAGTTCTGACACTGCTTCAGTCTATACAGCAGCTTAATTTAAGCATGAGGCTTGTCTGTCATATCAACCTACTCTTTTTTACTCTGTCTATTCCAGAGACATAGAATACCCTTCTGTTTGCTTTTCCAAAAATTACACATTCACTGACCATTACTAGCTCTAATCACCTATTCAGAAAATCTGGCCTGCTACACATATGGCTTCCTGCTCCTTGACTGAGCTTACAAACTTCCCCTTCAGCCATGATCTTTCCTTTTTCAGGTCAGAACAGAAAAGATGAAGAGAAAATCATATTGGATCCCTTTTTCCCGATTTGTGCAAACCTGCCTCCAACCCCGTGATGGTTTACTTCAGTCAGGATATGGTTACTTGGATGACTATGCTATCAGTCCTCCACTCACCTTTGAAGTTCACTTTTGTGTGAAATATTTTCATATACTAAATATCAATATTAAGTTAATACATCTCTACAGTTTCTGAAATCTCTACTCCTCTCATGAACAATAACAACAAAAAGTCCCTGGTCTTTTTGAAAGCAAATTGACCCTTTTCTCTTCTACATCTTTTAAAAATGTTTTGAATAGACACAAGGTTTACCCCATGGTAGTTTTCTCACTGCTTCATTTCTGCTTGTCTAAATTCTTGTCAAGAGATGTATAACTAAAAGGTCAGTGAACACAATTCAACTGTTTTAAGATTTTTTTCTATAACTATTAGCCTAGCTTCATATGTCCTATAACACAAAGTACAGTGAAAGTAGCATGTCTCTATGTAACTTTATATTTTAAATCAAACATCTGAAGAGCTGATTTGAACATCAGAGAATGGGAGAAGTTAATGTTAAATTATGTTGTGACAAAATTATCTGTGATTGGATTTCCAAAACTTACTGGAAAAACTGTTTGCAGAACCAGAAGCACATACTATTATTGGCAAACCTATTTATAGCCTCAGTACTCATAAAATTGCTAAGAATTTTCCATAGTTATAACAGTTCTGGAATAGCAAGTAAGGTGAAGAAATGATAGTGCATATAGCATATGAAGGAGACAATTATTCACATACCGCTTTACTTGGTAGTATTTTGTAGCTGACTATGGCATGACCGACATATATAGATATATATGTAATTTTCATATTTTCATTGATTTTAGGAATCTTCATATTTTTTACTTAAAGAGGAAAGCGTAATTCCTTTTTTTCCCAACTTGGTTGAAATAAAGTTAATGAAAGTTTGTTTCTTCACAAGGCCTATAAAAACCATATGTTTTCAGACATTCTATATATTGATGTGGAGTACCAATTAGACTTTTTCAATTTGTAACAATAAGGAAGGAGGCTAGATCTCCTGTATGGAGAACTCCGAGGCAAGAAAATTATATCAATGAAAGTTAGTACCTTTTCTGCAAATTACAATCTTAGAAAGTGGCCTAAATAGCTGAGAGGATAAATGACTTGCCTTTGCATCACCACCTAGCCATTATGCATCAGAGGCAGGACTTCAGTTGAAGCCAACTCTTTATGTATGCACTAAGTTGCCTCAGTAACTATAGAAATTCTCAATAAGCAATGGATTGTGGCTCTAAAGGCTCAGAGGACTGCATTTAACTTTTAAGTCACTTTTAGTTATTTTTTTTTTGGGATGGCTAGAAGAGATTATTTGATTTTCTCTCAAAAGTTATTTAAGAATTCTATTTGCAACTGAAGGAGCTTAGTCTGGAAAACTAAACCAATTACTATTTTAACAAACAATTTAAAATTAATTTGAAGATTTGTTAATATCACCATGGAGACTACAGCATGAATTATCATGATATACCTCTTCTTATAAAAACCATGACTGCAATTATAACTTGAGACTAAGAATGAATATTGTTTTAGAAAAAAAGTACAATTTTTTTAAATGATAGGGAAACCCTGCAATTACCATAAGTAAAGACAGCAAAGAAGGAAACAGTTCTTTGAGAAAGCTATATTCCCTACAAATTGTGGAAATTGGAAGGAGGGATGACTTCCTCATTTTTAATTCCTAAATTAAAAACAAAAAAACCAACCAATTTTGTTTTCATTAATTCCACTATATAGCTAAAGAAGGGGAAATAGAGTTGTGCATGATATGATTTTTTCCCCACGTATCTTAAAACATCCAGACTTATTTCCATATGACCATAACATCCTTGCAAAAATTAAGAAAATTTCTTCATTCAGTGAGAGAGACAAAAAGAAAGAAAGAGGCAGACAGAGAGACAGAAAAAGAGAGACAGAGAAACAGAGCAACATTAAGAGAACTGGTCAGATGTATACTAATAGCACTTTTTCCATCCCAGAAGTTTTTCCATGCTATTTTAAAGTTAATTTTCTTAAAAAGAAGAAAAAGTTTTTCTCTTCTGTAATTTTTTTCTGAAGATTTTCAAACTTTCAATAAAAGTTTGTTGTCAGTATTTGGCATTTCTTCCTGGAAACTGAAGAATTCTTTGCTTCTATAAAATGTTTTGAAAGTTCTCTTTGTTATTAGTTGATATGGGAGGAGGATCAATTTTAAAGATACTTGGGGAGAGGCAGAAGATAAGAGATACATTACAAACTTGTGAAAAAAGTTTAATTGCTAGAATAACAGAATTAGATGGTCTGTAGTTCTTTGTAAGCCTAAGCATGCCAAACTCAATGATGTGAAAGCGGTTTTTTTTTTAAATACTCTCTTAATCTACCCAGATTCACAACAGCCTCACAGGGCTCCAAAATCTCTAGCACTGAAAAGATTAATACCAAAACACATCCATTTCTTTTAATTTTCCTCATTCTTTAGTGAAGACTAAAAGCAGACATCTCCTTCTATCAGTAGTTCTTTCCCCCTTTCCCATATAGTTTATATATAAGTTTCAGAGGAAGTAATCAAATTTTCATAACTTGATGTGCCCTTTACGTAGTGAAGAGGAAGTAGGTATGATATGAATCTGCTGTCAGCAGTTTGAAAAGTTTGCTTCTAGGGATAACACTTTTTGCATGTTTCCTCCTATTCCCACAAGTCCAAATGACTGCATGGCATCTCTACTGGACAGGTCAGTTTTTAAAATTAATTTATTTTGAATTCCAGAGACTTTTGAGTTTTAAATTTTTCTCCCCCTCCTTTCCCACCTCCCTACCCAAGACAGTGCATGATCTGATATAGGCTGTACATATACAATCCTATTAAACATATTTTCACATTAGTGATGTTGTAAGTAAGAATTAGAACCAATAGGAGGAACCACCAGAAAGAGGAAACAAAACACAACAGAAGAAAAAAAATACTGAATAGTATGCTTCAATCTGCATTCAAACTCCATAGTTCTTTCTTTGGACATGGATAGCATTTTCCATCATGAGGCCTTTCAATATGTCTTAGATCCTTGTATTGCTGAGAAGAGTTAAGTCTGTCAATATTAGTTATCGCACAACGTGGCTGTTACTGTGTACAATGTTCTCCTGGTTCTGCTCACTTCACTCAGCATCAGACTAAACAAGTCTTTCCAGGTTTTCCTGAAATCTGCCTGCTCATCATTTCTTATAGCACAATAGTATTCCATTACAGTCATATACCACAACTTGTTCAGCCATTCCCCAATTGGTGGGCATCCTCTCAACTTCCAATTCTTCTTTTTCTATATAAATTTATTTATTTTTAATTTTCAACATTTACTTCCACAAGATTTTGAATTCCAAATTTTCACCCCATCTTGCCCCTTCTCCTACCCCAAGATGGCATGCATTCTGAATATGCCTTCCCCCAGTATGCCCTCCCTTCTATCTCTCTCCCCCGCCCCTTCTTTTATCCCCTTCCCCTTCCACTTTCCTGCAGGGCAGGATAGATTTCTGTACCTCATTTCCTGTATTTCTTATTTCCCAGCTGCATGTGGAAACATTTTTTTTAAACATGTGTTTCTAAAACTCCAGGTTCCAAACTTTCTCCCTTCCTCCCACCCCACCTACCTTCATTGAAAAGGCAAGCAACTCAATATAGGACATAGATGTGTGGTTATGCAAAACACTTCCATAGTAGACATGTTGTGAAAAACTAACTCAATTTCCCTTAATCCTATCCTGCCCCCCCATCTATTCTACTCTTTCTTTTGACCCTGTCCCTCCTTAGAAGTACTTCTTCTGATTACCCCTTTCCCAATCTGCCCTTCTCTCATCATCCCCCTGCTCTCTTGTCCCCTGCCTCCCCTATTTTCCTGTAGAGTAAGACAGATTTCCATACCCAATTGAGTGTGTATGTTATTCCCTCCTTAAGCCAAATCCTATGAGAATAAGATTCCCTCATTTCCTCTCACCTTTCCCTGTTTCCCCTCCACTGTAAGAATGCCTTCTTGTTTGTTTTTTGTAAGATAATGTACCCCACTCTACCTCTCCCTTTCTTCTTCTCCTAGTACAATCTTCTCTCACCCCTTAATTTTATTCTCCAGATATCACCCTTCATCTTCAACTCACCTGTGCCTCTATCTATCTATCTATCTATCTATCTATCTATCTATCTATCTATCTATCTATCTACATACATATTTTTCCCCCACTACCCTAATACTGACAAAGGTCTCATGAGTTATAAATATCATCTTTCCATGCAGGAATGTAAACAGTTCAACTTAATAAGTCTCTTATGATTTCTCTTTCCTGTTTACTCTTCATGTTCCACTTGAGTCTTGTA